TTTCCTCATTACAGACAGGAAGATTTATGGGAACACAATGGGTCGATAATATGAGCTAAACTAAATGTTATAAGAACATAAGAACATAAGAATGGAGGAAACTGCAGCTGGCCTATTGGCCCATACTAGGCAGTCCCGTTTAGAACATAAGAACATAAGAAGTGGGATACTGCAGGAGGCCGACTGGCCCATACAGGGCAGATCCCTTTCACACCCATCCCAGCACTTCCATGTGCCTATCCAACTTCGTCTTGAAGCTCCCTAGCGTCCCCGATCCTACAATAGCACTCGGTAGCCTATTCCACATATCCACAACTCTATCACCAAACCAGTGCTTGCCTATATCCTTTCTGAATCGGAATTTATCTAATTTAAAGCCATTTGTTCTAGTTATTTCGTTATTACTGAGCTTCAAAACATCTTCCATTTTACCCTTGTTAATCCCACTTACCCACTTGAACACCTCTATCATATCTCTCCTAACTCTACGCCTCTCTAATGAATGCAAGCCTAAGCTTTTCAGTCTTTCTTCATATGGAAGGTTTCTAATATTATGGATAACATGTTCATTACTATAACAAAGGTTCACTACAACATGTTCACTACAACATGTTCACTATAACATGTTCATTACTATAACAAAGGTTCACTATTCCGTGTTCACTATAATAACATGATCATTACTATAACAAAGGTTCACTACAAGAGGTTCACTATAATAACATGTTCATTACTATAACAAAGGTTCACTACAAGAGGTTCACTATAATAACATGTTTATTACTATAACAAAGGTTCACTACAAGAGGTTCACTATAATAACATGTTCATTACTATAACAAAGGTTCACTACAAGAGGTTCACTATAATAACATGTTCATTACTATAACAAAGGTTCACTACAAGAGGTTCACTATAATAACATGTTCATTACTATAACAAAGGTTCACTACAAGAGGTTCACTATTCCATGTTCACTATAATAACATGTTCATTACTATAACAAAGGTTCACTACAAGAGGTTCACTACAAGAGGTTCACTATAATAACATGTTCATTACTATAACAAAGGTTCACTACAAGAGGTTCACTATAATAACATGTTCATTACTATAACAAAGGTTCACTACAAGAGGTTCACTATAAAAACATGTTCATTACTATAACAAAGGTTCACTACAAGAGGTTCACTATAATAACATGTTCATTACTATAACACAGGTTCACTACAACATGTTCATTACTATAACAAAGGTTCACTACAACAGGTTCACTACAACATGTTCATTACTATAACAAAGGTTCACTACAAGAGGTTCACTATAATAACATGTTCATTACTATAACAAAGGTTCACTACAACATGTTCATTACTATAACAAAGGTTCACTACAACATGTTCACTATAATAACATGTTCATTACTATAACAAAGGTTCACTACAATAACATGTTCATTACTATAACAAAGGTTCACTACAAGAGGTTCACTATAATAACATGTTCATTACTATAACAAAGGTTCACTACAAGAGGTTCACTACAATAATATGTTCATTACTATAACAAAGGTTCACTACAAGAGGTTCACTATAATAACATGTTCATTACTATAACAAAGGTTCACTACAAGAGGTTCACTGTGGTAACCTCTTACTACATTATCTTACACTTGACATAATGTTTACACCACATGAGTCCAGTGGTCTGGTTTGGTCATAAAAGTTAATAATGCAGAATATTAAAAGTGAACGACGCCAGCACCAGCCCGTCACTAAAATGACCGAGAAGAAGGCCAAGGGTCCAACAGTGACACCCCAACTGGCTCGTATGAGGGGCCAGTGGGTGCAGGAGACGACGGAGGTCACCATCAAAGCTCCTAACACCTTGTTAGGGGTTGTGGTAGGCCCAGGTGGCTCTACCATAAAAGAGATTTAGGAAAAGTATTAGGTTCGCGTCTCTGTCCCTCAGAAGGGGTCCAAGGACCAGCCCCTACGGGTTGTAGGGCTAGATAAAGGCCTTGTGCAAGATGCCGCGGATCACATAAAAGCCCTGGTTCAAAAGGCTGTGACCACGACAGTGACCATCACTGCTCCTAACAACATGTTAGGGGTTGTGGTAGGCCCTGGTGGCTCTACCATAAAAGAGATTTAGGAAAAGTATAATGTTCGCGTCTCTGGCCCTCAGAAGGGGTCCAAGGACCAGCCCCTACGGGTTGTAGGGCTAGATAAAGGCCTCGTCCACGACGCCGCGGATCACATAAAAGCCCTGGTTCAAAAGGCTGTGACCACGACAGTGACCATCACTGCTCCTAACAACATGTTAGGGGTTGTGGTAGGCCCAGGTGGCTCTACCATAAAAGAGATTTAGGAAAAGTATAACGTTCGCGTCTTTGTTCCTCAGAAGGGGTCCAAGGACCAGCCCCTACGGGTTGTAGGGCTAGATAAAGGCCTGGTGCACGATGCCGCGGATCATATAGAGTCCTTGATGGCCTATGAAAAGGAAAGGCGGCGTCTCAGTACGCCAGTGTCACAAACGGTGTTCATCCCTAAGGCCCACCACGGCCTAATAATTGGCAGACAGGGTCAAAATATACGGTACCTATCACTAACCCGTAGAATAACCATCGTTCTGCCCCCCAAAAATGTTATAAGCGATGAGGTCACTGTGACCGGTCTCCCTGACCAGGTGGACCAAGGTGTAAGAGACCTGGTTAACCTGGTCAAAAGCTCCACCCACATTTGTTACAACTCTGACTTCTGAGAGGCCCTTACTCTCTTGACCCCCCCCCCCACCCCCACATTTGTTACAACTCTGACTTCTGAGAGGCCCTTACTCTCTTGACCCCACCCCCACATTTGTTACAACTCTGACTTCTAGGGGCCGCCTCTCCATTTACCCCCATGACAAAAAAAAAAAAATGGACCCTCTAACCACTGGCCTCCACGCGGCAGGGTCTGGAAACTCAGGGATTGATCTCTGGGGCTAACAGTGGTTTAGTGTTGTTATTATTACGAGAGAGAGAGTCATCAAGGTAACGTACCAGTCCTCCCAGATAATTAAGGCACCTGCACCAATATATCAAAGTTAATATAAAAAGCTTCACTATGTATAAAGTTAGTATGATCACAAGACGAACCGCTCTAACCTAACCTAACCTAACCTAACAACACACACACACACACACACACACACACACACACACACCTGATGCAGAGTCCCTTAGTAGACTTGCTAGGGGAGTGAACACTGCATTTCATAGTGCAAAGGTCCCACTTGGCATAAGTGTTCCTTGGAGCAAGCGGAAATTTGTTTTCCAAAGACACTTTGTCTCTATGTATAGAACCCACTAATTAGCATAATTTATGCTAATTAGCACCAGAAAGAAGGCACTTTCTAACATAAGAACATAAGAACATAAGAATGGAGGAAACTGCAGCGGGCCTATTGGCCCATACTGGGCAGTCCCGTTTACACCCAACCCCTATTGCTCATATGAGCATCCAACCTATGTTTGAAGCAATTCAGCGTATTCGAGTTAATGATGATATTTGGTAACGTTCATTTGTCCCTCTCTGTTTCCAAACCAGTGTTTTACCTATTTCTGCGCCTCGTCTAAATTTGGCTTCTAATTTGGAAGGCCATTGTGCAGGTTTCGCTCCTGGTTTGGATAATTTGAGTGCCTTTGTAATGTCCTTTGTTTTGGCCCCTGCCTTCCATATACACCTCTAACCAGGTCGCCCCTCGCTCTGCGTCTCTCGAGGGTGCAAATTAGATGCTTTTAACCTGTCTCTGCTCAAGGTTCCTAATAATGTAGATTAGTCTTGTCATTCTCCTCTGAATTCTTTCCAATGATTCTATATCCATCCTGTAATACAGTGACCAGAACTGAACTGCATAATTCAGGTGTGGTCTCACAAGCTCAAGATACAGTTTTAGGATGACCTCGCTAGTCTTGTAACTAACACTCCTTTGTGTGAACCCAAGTACTTTATTAGCCTTGTTACGAGCAAAAACACATTGTTTACTTGGCTTGAGGTTCCTACTTATCATTACTCCTAAATCTCTCTCGCAGTCGGATTTCTCTATGGCATCGTTGTTCATCTGGTATCTGGTTTCCCTGTTTGTCTCCACTGGTGCTTTACATTTGCCGACATTGAATTTCATCTGCCATTTTTCAGACCATTTGGAAAATTTGTTTAGATCTTCCTGTAGTTTTGCCGAGTCCTCATCAGATTTGATAACACGTCCTATTTTAGTGTCATCAGCAAATTTACTTATGTTGCTGTCTATGCCGATATCTATGTCGTTTATGTATATAATAAACAATAATGGTCCAAGTACTGAGCCTTGGGGAACTCCACTTGTGACGTTGCTCCAATGGGACTTCGTGCCGTTAATGCTCACTCGCTGTTTCCTGTCCTGTAACCACGCCCTAATCCATTTAAGGATGTCACCTTTGATGCCATGAGCTTCTACCTTTCTAATTAGTCTTTCGTGGGGGACTCTGTCGAAGGCTTTGCTAAAGTCGAGATATACCACATCATAATTGTGCCCCTCGTCCACTGATTCGAAAACTGATGAAAAGAATGTTAATAGATTAGTTAGGCAAGAACATCCGCTTGTGAAGCCATGCTAGAGTCATTGATCAAATCAAGTGCTTCTCCAAGTGATTTCGAATAATTTGAAATAGTTGCTTTTGATAATTTGCCTGCTATTGATGTTAGACTGATTGGGCGGTAGTTAGAGGATAGTGATATCCCCTTCTTGAAAATCAGTGTACATTACGCTATCCTCCAGGATTCTGGTACTACACCTGTTTTTGGAGACATGTTAAACCCAACTTTGCTAGGCATCTGGCTCTTCCTTACATTCCTTTAATACTCTGGCAAATATCTCATCGGGACCAGGTGACTTATTAGGCTTTAGTTTGTCTATTTGCTTACTAACATCGTTACTAGTCACTACTATCTCACTTAATTTGTTTTCTTCACTATCTCTGAATAGAGTCGGTGCCTCGGGTATCATGTTTAAATTTTCGGTGGTGAAAACGGTTGAAAAATATTCATTCAAATTATTGCTCATTTCTCTGTCGTTATCAGTGAGCTCGCCGGTGTCTGACCGTATTGGTCCAATCGTTTCTCGTGTTTTAGTTTGATACATTTGGTAGAATCCTTTGGGGTTTGTCTTCGCCTCCCTTGCTATCCTTACCTCATTATTCCTCTTTGCTTTCCTTATCTCGGTTTTAACCCTACTCGCCAATACCCTATAATAGTCCCGGAGGTGAATTTTGCCATGATTTATCCTTCTACCTATAGCCTTCCTTTGGCCAATGATGTTCCTTAAATAATTATTAATCCATTTAGGGTCATTGTTGTTTGATCTGAGTTTTTTGTATGGTATGTTCTGCCTTTGTGCATTAAGTAACTCACTATTTAAATTGTCGTGGAACTCGGCAATCTCGGATCTCGTTATCAGGTCGTTGTCATCTGTCAGGTTCACGGCCAAGCGCGACACCCCCTCTCTCAGCTGCCTCTTTAAACTGTCAAAGTTCGCCCTTCTGAAATCTGGTACTTTAGTGGAATTTTCCTTACGTCTGCCCTGAAAGTCTAACTGGAATCTAATTTCTTTGTGATCGCTGTTTGCAAATTCGTTCCCTACCTCGACCCTGCTAATGAGGTTTTCTCTGTTTGACAGAACTAAATCGAGTATATTATTACCCCTTGTGGGTTCAGTTATATGTTGACTTAGAAAACAGTCCTGGATAGTCTCGAGAAAATCTTCTGATTCTGAGTTACCTGTAAGGTCAGTCCAATCTATTTGGCCAAGGTTAAAGTCGCCTACTATACAGACTTTGTTGTGCATGGAAGCCCTGCGCATTTCATCCCAGATAAGTCGCTCTTTGACTCTATCAAGATTGGGAGGTCTATATATTACTCCTGTGATTAATTTTTCTCTACCGTTGATTAATTCTATCCAAATTGTTTCTGTATTCCGGTCAGTTTTTATTTCCTTATTTATTTCACACTTCAGATTATCCCAAACATAGATTGCTACTCCGCCTCCTTTCCTGGTCTGCCTATCGGTATGGAACAGTTTGTAACCCGCAATTTGGTATTCGACTGGTAACTCACGTGTGTCTAGGTTGATCCATGTTTCAGTGAATGCAATTATATCGATTTTATCGGTACATACCAAGGCCCTAATATCATCCATTTTGTTTCTCATACTTCTACTGTTTGCGTAGTATACATTTAAGTTAGTCGTGTTCTGAGTCCTCCCCTTTCCGCGTTTAGTTTTAAACTCCCTGTCAAATTCAGTTTTGTCATCATTCCTAACACTATTTCCCTGTAATCTTTCACTTTGTTTACCGGCTCCCACTGCAGTCTCCTCCACCCCCGTGCTCATATGTTCTCCTAGCAGTTTAAAGACTTCGATATCTTTTGAACTGCCCCCTCTAGAGCCTCAGCCAGGGTTGCTACTCCATCCCTAGACAGGTGCACCCCATCCCTAGCATAAAGGTCCCTTCTGCCATTACAAAGGTACTCGAACTATCCAACCAGGAGCGAACTCGTAACAATGGTTTTAAATTAGACAAATTTAGATTTAGGCGCGAAATAGGTAAACATTGGTTTGGAAATAGAGTAGTGGACGAGTGGAACAAGTAACTCGAATACGCTGGATAGCTTCAAACATAGGTTGGATGGATATATATGAGCAATAGGGGTTGGGTAAATACTGCCTTAGTAAGGGCTAATAGGTCTGCTGCAGTTTCTATTATTATGCTTATGTTCTGCATGAACGTCACAATTAATTCAATAAGATTACACTAACTTCTACACAAAGTTTATGTAAAGATTTAATGGGAGAAGGACATAATGATTTTATATCAGACCAAAGCATGCTATACAGAGAAGAATAATACATATATAGTAATAACTAGATGAAGCAGGTACACCTGCCACAAGTTGATCCACCCTACAGTAGTAATTAAAGTGAGATTAAGACCTGACCAAACAAAGGTCAAGGTGTGTGTCGTGAAGGGAAAAGGAGTTCTCGCCTCCATGTGATGGGAGACCAAGGGACATGATCTTGTTAATTCAAGAAACTGCCCTCCAGCCAGTACACAGACACCTGACCAAGCACACTGGGCCAGACACACCTATGTTGGTAATAATTAGGAAGCATTACCGACCGGCATACCACGGTAAGTGATATGACCCAGTGACCCACCAAGCACCTCACACCGGATCAAACACAGCTGTCCCGACCCACCCAAATTAGTGATAAATAAGAGACAATCTGCCAGCCTGACACCTCCAATATAAGAGGCCTACAGCTTCTCCCAGAGGTCTGACAGGGAGAGACAACTCAAAGCCAGACGGAGTCACACCAATCACAAGTCGAGGTCGGGAGGGGGACTTCCCTTCCTATGACTGAGTCCCCAGCTGGCAGAGTCTCCCACAGGTGACAGAGTCCAGCACCCACCGGGACCACTCGCCCCAGAAGTACCAGGCCCTGCAGTCAGAGTTCCCAGCTGCTGGACCTCCCTCAGGTCACACGTCAGAGCAATGGTGGGAAGTGTATCCATTTCATGTTTATGTCCGAGAGTCATTGTTTAGTAACGTCAATATGATGATCTATTAATGTGTCCATGCCATTCAGTTAACTAGTAAATAGCTGTACATAGAATTGTTGTTTAGAAGATTTTCCCATGAAAATATTAACAATTGATTAACTATTCAGTCACGCTACCAACTTTCTTCACTTTACAATCCTACTACTATAAATTCTACCTATATCTTAATATGAGATTTCCTCATTACAGACAGGAAGATTTATGGGAACACAATGGGTCGATAATATGAGCTAAACTAAATGTTATAAGAACATAAGAACATAAGAATGGAGGAAACTGCAGCTGGCCTATTGGCCCATACTGGGCAGTCCCGTTTAGAACATAAGAACATAAGAAGTGGGATACTGCAGGAGGCCGACTGGCCCATACAGGGCAGATCCCTTTCACACCCATCCCAGCACTTCCATGTGCCTATCCAACTTCGTCTTGAAGCTCCCTAGCGTCCCCGATCCTACTATAGCACTCGGTAGCCTATTCCACATATCCACAACTCTATCACCAAACCAGTGCATGCCTATATCCTTTCTGAATCGGAATTTATCTAATTTAAAGCCATTTGTTCTAGTTATTTCGTTATTACTGAGCTTCAGAACATCTTCCATTTTACCCTTGTTAATCCCACTTACCCACTTGAACACCTCTATCATATCTCTCCTAACTCTACGCCTCTCTAATGAATGCAAGCCTAAGCTTTTCAGTCTTTCTTCATATGGAAGGTTTCTAATATTATGGATAACATGTTCATTACTATAACAAAGGTTCACTACAACATGTTCACTACAACATGTTCACTATAACATGTTCATTACTATAACAAAGGTTCACTACAAGAAGTTCACTATTCTGCAAGTTCATCATAGTAACATGATCATTACTATAACAAAGGTTCACTACAAGAGTGTCTACTACAAGATAGTCTGATTATAATAACATGTTCATTACTATAACAAAGGTTCACTACAACATGTTCACTATAATAACATGTTCATTACTATAACAAAGGTTCACTACAAGAGGTTCACTATAATAACATGTTCATTACTATAACAAAGGTTCACTACAAGAGGTTCACTATAATAACATGTTCATTACTATAACAAAGGTTCACTACAAGAGGTTCACTATTCCATGTTCACTATAATAACATGTTCATTACTATAACAAAGGTTCACTACAAGAGGTTCACTACAAGAGGTTCACTATAATAACATGTTCATTACTATAACAAAGGTTCACTACAAGAGGTTCACTATAATAACATGTTCATTACTATAACAAAGGTTCACTACAAGAGGTTCACTATAATAACATGTATATTACTATAACAAAGGTTCACTACAAGAGGTTCACTATAATAACATGTTCATTACTATAACAAAGGTTCACTACAACATGTTCATTACTATAACAAAGGTTCACTACAACAGGTTCACTACAACATGTCTAATACTATAACAAAAGGTTCACTAAGAGGTCTACTATATAACATGTTCATTACTATAACAAAGGTTCACTATAACATGTCTATTACTATAAATAAAGGTTCACTACAACATGTCTTCACTATAATAACATATGTTCTATTACTATAACAAAGGTCACTACAAGAGGTCTGATTATAATACCATTAATATTATAACAAAGGCCCAAGGAGGTTCACTATAATAACAGGTTCATTATTTCCAAATGTTCACAAGTAAAAGGTTCACTATAACTATATGTTCATTATAACAAAGGTTCGTCATAAGAGGTTCACTATAATAACATGTCTATTACTATAACAGAGGTTCACTACAAGAGGTTCACTGTGGTAACTCTCTACTACTATTATCTTTATTAATTTGGACATAATGCTTGTACCATGAGTCCAGTGGTCTGGTTTAATATAAGCTTATCAATGGCATTATTGCGTGAACAGATGCCAAATTGTTCGTCACTAAATGGCCTGGAGAAGAAGGCCAAGGGTCCAATGACACCCCAACTGGCTCGCTGTAAGGGAGGGCCAGGGTGCAGGAGACGACGGAGGTCACCATCAAAGCCCTCAACACCTTGTTAGCTGTAGGGCCCAGGTGGGCTCTAATTAGCAAGAGACGAGAAAAGTATAAGGTCTGCGTCTTCTGTCCTCAGAAGGGGTCCAAGGACCAGCCCCTACGGGTTGTAGGGTTAGATAAAGGCCAGGTGCACAACGCCGCGGATCACATAAAAGCCCTGGTTCAAAAGGCTGTGACTACGACAGTGACCATCACTGCTCCTAACAACATGTTAGGGGTTGTGGTAGGCCCAGGTGGCTCTACCATAAAAGAGATTCAGGAAAAGTACAGAGTTCGCGTCTCTGTCCCGCAGAAGGGGTCCAAGGACCAGCCCCTACGGGTTGTAGGGCCAGATAAAGGCCTCGTCCACGACGCCGCGGATCACATAAAAGCCCTGGTTCAAAAGGCTGTGACTACGACAGTGACCATCACTGCTCCTAACAACATGTTAGGGGTTGTGGTAGGCCCAGGTGGCTCTACCATAAAAGAGATTCAGGAAAAGTATAAGGTTCGCGTCTCTGTCCCTCAGAAGGGGTCCAAGGACCAGCCCCTACGGGTTGTAGGGCCAGATAAAGGCCTGGTGCAAGATGCCGCGGTTCATATAGAGTCCTTGATGGCCTATGAAAAGGAAAGGCGGCGTCTCAGTACGCCAGTGTCACAAACAGTGTTCATCCCTAAGGCCCACCACGGCCTAATAATTGGCAGACAGGGTCAAAATATACGGTACCTATCACTAACCCGTAGAATAACCATAGTTCTGCCCCCCAAAAATGTTATAAGTGATGAGGTCACTGTGACCGGTCTCCCTGACCAGGTGGACCAAGGTGTAAGAGACCTGGTTAACCTGGTCAAAAGCTCCACCCACATTTGTTACAACTCTGACTTCTGAGAGGCCCTTACTCTCTTGACCCCCACCCCCACATTTGTTACAACTCTGACTTCTGAGAGGCCCTTACTCTCTTGACCCCACCCCCACATTTGTTACAACTCTGACTTCTGAGAGGCCCTTACTCTTTGGACCCCCCCATCCCCACATAAGAGACAAAAAAAAAAAAAAAAAAATGGACCCTCTAACCACTGGCCTCCACGCGGCAGGGTCTGGAAACTCAGGGATTGATCTCTGGGGCTAACAGTGGTTTAGTGTTGTTATTATTACGAGAGAGAGAGAGAGAGAGAGAGAGAGAGAGAGAGTCATCAAGGTAACGTACCAGTCCTCCCAGATAATTAAGGCACCTGCACCAATATATCAAAGTTAATATAAAAAGCTTCACTATGTATAAAGTTAGTATGATCACAAGACGAACCGCTCTAACCTAACCTAACCTAACCTAACAACACACACACACACACACACACACACACACACCTGATGCAGAGTCCCTTAGTAGACTTGCTAGAGGAGTGAACACTGCATTTCATAGTGCAAAGGTCCCACTTGGCATAAGTGTTCCTTGGAGCAAGCGGAAATTTGTTTTCCAAAGACACTTTGTCTCTATGTATAGAACCCACTAATTAGCATAATTTATGCTAATTAGCACCAGAAAGAAGGCACTTTCTAACATAAGAACATAAGAACATAAGAATGGAGGAAACTGCAGCGGGCCTATTGGCCCATACTGGGCAGTCCCGTTTACACCCAACCCCTATTGCTCATATGAGCATCCAACCTATGTTTGAAGCAATTCAGCGTATTCGAGTTAATGATGATATTTGGTAACTTGTTCCATTCATCCACTACTCTGTTTCCAAACCAGTGTTTACCCATTTTACTAAATCTAAATTCTGTCTAATTTAAAACCATTATGTGAGTTCGCTCCGGTTGGCTAAATTTGAGTACCCTTGTACGTCCCCTTTGTTTAGTCTCTTCTGCCTTCCACTTATACACCTCTATCAGGTCGCCCCTCGCTCTACGTCTCTCGAGGGAGTGCAAATTAAGATGCTTTAACCTGTCTCTGTACTCAAGGTTCCTAATGCCCGGGATTAGTCTTGTCATTCTCCTCTGAATTCTTTCCAAGGATTCTATATCCATTCTGTAATGCGGTGACCAGAATTGAACTGCGTAATCCAAGTGAGGTCTCACAAGCGCAACATATAGTTTTAAGATGACCTCGCTAGTCTTGTAACTAACATTCCTTTGTATGAACCCAAGTACTTTATTAGCTTTGTTTCGAGCAAATACACATTGTTTACTTGGCTTAAGATTCCTACTTATCATTACTCCTAAATCTCTCTCGCAGTCGGATTTCTCAATAACATCGTTGTTCATCTGGTATCTGGATTCCCTGTTTACATCTCCTATACTGAGTACTTTACATTTGTCTACATTGAATTTCATCTGCCCTTTTTCAGACCATTCAAAATTTTTTTTTTAGATCTTCCTGTAGTTTTGTGGAGTCCTTGTCAGATTTAATTACACGTCCCATTTTAGTGTCATCAGCAAATTTACTTATGTTGCTGTTTACGCCGATATCTATGTCGTTTATGTATATAATAA